GACCATACCTCATCTAATGGCAATTTAAAATGACCTAACATTACCAAGTGGCAATTCAAAATGGCCGTACCACACCAAGTGGCAATTCAAAATGGCTGTACCTCATCTAATGGCAATTTAAAATGACCTAACATTACCAAGTGGCAATTCAAAATGGCCGTACCACACCAAGTGGCAATTCAAAATGGCTGTACCTCATCTAATGGCAATTTAAAATGACCTAACATTACCAAGTTGCAATTCAAAATGGTCGTACAACACCAAGTGGCAATTTAAAATGGCCGTACCACACCAAATGGCAATTAAAAATGGCCGTACCACACCAAGTGGCAATTTAAAATGGCCGTACCACACCAAATGGCAATTAAAAATGGCCGTACCACACCAAGTGGCAATTTAAAATGGCCGTACCACACCAAGTGGCAATTCAAAATAACCGTACATTACCAAGTGGCAATTCAAAATGGCCGTACCACACCAAGTGGCAATTTAAAATGGCCGTACCACACCAAATGGCAATTAAAAATGGCCGTACCACACCAAGTGGCAATTTAAAATGGCCGTACCACACCAAGTGGCAATTCAAAATAACCGTACATTACCAAGTGGCAATTCAAAATGGCCATACCTTACTATACTGCTGCATCAGTTCAGAGAATCTTTGATATGCACCAGATGTGAGACGATCCTTTACCTGATAAATAAATTAATGCAAACATTAAATTGTTTCAACTCAAAGACTGAATAGGTACATGTCTAGTCACAAAAACAAATTGCATTACTTAATTTCAGAAAATATAGAGACACCATGTAAGGTAGACAAACTCTTTTAATAATGAGAAGAGAAATTGAATCATATCATCCAAAATTCACACAGAAATACCTGTATTACCTGTGGGTACAGTGATTAATTCAACAGGTTTTAAATTCACTGTTTTGTCGTCAAAACAATAAGTTCTACTGTAATTTTAAATGTTCATGTGTATTTTTAATTTAGTGGACTTTACTTGTCAGCAAAAAATAGCTAAATTAAAACCCTGTAAAAAATGAATACAGCAATATATCAAAAAAATCAAAAAAGTTTAGAGCAGAATCAGGGTTTGACCAGACTCCACACAGAGAAGTTCGCTGATACTGTTCTAAATTTTTTGGATATTGGCATTCCTTTCCTTGGAAAGAAAAAATGTATAATAATAAGGTTATTACAGAGATACCTCAAAGTATACACTGTGTTGGTTGATACTCCCGCTGCACTGTCTTCGTGCATACTTTGAGGTATCCTCATAATAACCTCATATTATATGGATAAATAATATATATTATTGAAAATAATGCAGGGTGCATATAAAAATATATTTGCTAGACTTAGGCAGAGGGTCCTCCAAACCTACCTATTCACATAGTTTACACCCACCATAGACTCCGATCAGTCAAAATGACTATTTTGAACTGTAGGAATTAATCAGCAATTCTGCCAATGACGGAGAGATAGAATCTAGATCAGGGGAAGCCCCATGACCCAAAGTTTCTTTTTCCTTACATTGCGAACCACGTGACCGAGGCCATATGGCAGCGCCATCATAGCCAGATAATCACTCTGGTTCCTTTCTCTCCGCATCGAGGACTAGACCATCGCAACAGAAAGAGTGGGGTGGTTGGGGGGGGGGTCTATGGTGGGTATGAACTATGTGAATAGGCGGGTTCTGCGAACCCTCTACCTAAATTCACTACTTTCAATTACCCTCCATAGACTCCGGTCAGTCAAAATGACTATTTTGATTTGTAGGCAGAATCAGACGCCGATAGGTGGCGGATTTTCCGAGCAAACAGAAAATGATCAAAGTCTTTTCCCAGTCCGGGATCATACAATCTACACCACTCAACACCTAGCTAAGACCCCCAAAAGAGGGTGGTGTCTTACCTTGCTGTGCTGTCCCTGGAGCAAAAAGCCAAAAATGCTGCTACGGTGATAGGTTTCGGTGTGCCCGAGAAAGCTAGACCAAAAACCCAAATTAGGGGGTAGTATGCTTTCAAAATAAAGACCAAAACAGTTCTGCATGAGAACCTGCAAGACCTGGAAACTTTCAAGAAGTGCTGATGGTAGAGAAATCTGCCCGCAAAAATGCTGAGACAGACTTATCGCCTATGTACAGGGACCCTTGTGTGGAGTCTGACCCGCTACGACGGGACCCAGCCTAAAAGAGGTCATCCTCAATAGACGTTTGCGTTCTCCTGAAGCCTGCCCTCAGAAAATGTTCGAGGGGGTGCCTGACGATAGCACTGGTGAGTTAGCAGTCGCACGGTTCTCATGCGCTCGTACTTAGTGACTTTGCAAGCTCAGTGTCGAGGAAGCTAAAGTATTATAGACCACTAATACAGACGCAGTCATCCACCTGGCGATGGAAGACTGAGAGGCTGGCCTATCCTACCTGCCTGGGCCGCAACACAAAGACATATGCTTGGCACCCCGTCTTGAAACCCTAGTATGATTTTGGTAGCAACTCAGTGCTCGAACCAGGCAGAGAAGCAACTCCTCCTGACCCTCCCGGCTGACAGAATTTGACAGTCGGGGGATGACGATCATGTCCTGGGATTTGGTTCTTGTCGAGAAACCCGATTCGTCTTTTTAGCACAACTTGATTGTCCATAAAAGTGGTACAACGTCCAAGAAGGACAATGCACACAAAGGGAGAAATTGACACATGGGTAAAAAAATAAGAAAAACTAGATAGAAGAAGATAGATAAAGGAAGATAAAGAAAGAGTGATTATCCGGCTGTAGTAGCGCCACCATATGGCCTCGGCCATGTGGTTTGTGACGTAAGGGAAAAGAATCTTGGGGTTATGACCTAGATTCTATCTCTCCGTCATTGGCAGAATCGCTGATTAATGCCTACAGTTCAAAATAGTCATTTTGACTGACCGGAGTCTATGGTGGGTAATTGAACGTTGTGAATTTTGAGAAACACAGAATGCATAGATACCTTTGAAAGATATATCTTAGCAGGAACAATAGTTGATGTTGATGATGATGACTGAGTGGAATCTTTACTATCATTTGATGACTTTCGTTTGGTTGTCCCTGATAACTCTGTTTTAGATTCCATTTCTTTGGAGAGAAAGGGCTGCAAATACAACAGATATTAGGAGCAGATCCACAAAACATCTGTATTCTCAGAAGCGAACATCCAGACAAAAAACTGTATTTTGGGCTAGCTATCAAGACTTTCCTGGGTAGTGTAACAAGTAGCTCCTACATGCACAACATATACAGTGTACCAGATTCTGTCGGAAATTCGCCCGTCCGAAAAATCGCCTGGGCAATTTCACAGCTGGTGGGCACTTATTTGTGATTCAAAATTTCAAAAAAATGATCAAATATTTTTCAGGGACTTGCATTTCCATCAAAAACTCCACCTACGCCGACTTTCAATGACAGTAGTAGGACCACTCAAAATGAAAGGAACTATTGCAGAAGAGATTCTAATATTTTATACATATTTTTCTTGCTGGATTAACGAGTAGGCCGCCTAAAATTGTCATAACAATATCACCTAACGCATCTTTCTCCGAAAAAAATCACATTAACGAACCTTGTGGACCATTCATTTTATTAGTATATTCTAAAAAAGTTTCAAATAAAAACGAACACAAATGATAACGGTAGCGCAATCCGGTCATGCTGAGTTTCACTCATATGATAAAGTCAACAGCAAAGCTAAAAAGTGAATCTGTTTTTATTAGATACATCAATGTGATGTGAATTGTTTTTGCCATAATATTTCTGAAATCTATATATTCCAGATGAGCTTAAGCTTATCAACATCAATCCCCCCCCCCCTCCTCATTTCACATAGTAGTCACACAAAGAGCAAGATAATGGTAATAGATGGTGAAAACTCAAAACTATACAATACTTACATTAACAACAACTATCTTTTTTTTGACAGAATTTTTTTTTCCCTGTTCTATCAATCTTTTGTGTAAGGCTTCTTTGTATCTCAATGCCTGTGGAGTATTAATTGTAGTGATGTCATTTACTCTTTTTAGATAATAATGAATTACAATAATAAAAACAAAACATAAATTAAGAGAGAATAGACGCACTGACCAAAACTAACCATCTATCATGTCAGTATTAGACATTAAAAATAAAAGTATCTTACTTGAGGACTGTTAATAATATCATCATCAACTTCTGAAGTCATTTGCTGTAATTTAAGAACATAACTGTAGTCAACTAAAATATATTGACAATATATCCATAACTATAGACCCTCTATTTTATAATCTCTAAATACAGAATAAATAGATTATATAATAAATAGATTTATAATCTCTTAAATAGAGAAATAGCATCTAGAGACTACTATGTTTCATTTCAATATAATTTTATGACACTTCATATTTTCAGATATTTAAGGTAGAAGCCTACTCATAAATTAAAAAACCCAGAATTTATTTATTTTGCAATAAATTGTACTCCAAGACAATATAAGGATATTGACCTAAAACAAGCAGCCTATCGACTGAGATAGCTCCGCTGTTAGCAATGCACATTTCAATTACAGAACAGAAGACATCATTAGAAAATGAACAATATGTATAGTATCAAAGCAATCGGACTTACAGTTTTTAACAAGAAGTCGAAAATATCACTTTTTACCAAAAATTACAAAAATATTCACCAAAATAAATTAATTAGAGAATTGAAGATATCATCACAAAACGAACAAATCTGAGAGAGGTCCACATGTAGTACCTATATATGTAATATCAAAGCAATCGGACTTACCGTTTTCAACAAGAAGTCGAAAATATCACTTTTTACCAAAAATGACAAAAATATTCACCAAAATTAGAGAATTGAAGATATCATCACAAAATGAACAAATCTGAGAGAGGTCCACATGTAGTACCTATATATGTAATATCAAAGCAATCGGACTTGCGGTTTTTAACAAGAAGTCAAAAATATCACTTTTTACCAAAAATTACAAAATATT